ATTAAATAATTAAAGCAACAAAACAACCTGAAGAGCCGGTTCGGAGCCGAAAGAGCCGGCTCTTTTTAGTGAGCCGAGCCGAAAGAGCCGGATCTCTAAAAAGAGCCGGAAATCCCATCACTAATAGATTATACTGTCCATAATGCTATTTGCGCCTACACACACTAGTACGAGGTTAGTGTTTCATAATTTCATTAATTTATAGAAGCACCATGCCTATACATTTTATTTACACAAGATTTATTTACTCTAGCAGACATTTGCAATGTTTCTTATCAATAAACATGAATATTTTAGGGCCTTGTGGTTTAATTATTATCAAAACTCTGTGTACTTGCACCTTCAAACCCTCCTCATGACACATAAAACCTCTCTCCTTGTGCTTATCTGGCATTTACTGTACTTGCAGCTTTGAACAGTGTACTATGTCAAGTAGTGTTAAGAACTTTACAGTGGGATACAATCCCCTAAACAAAAGCAACACTTTCAGTAGTGGTGATTATCTCATGGGACAAGTTACATTTGAATTAACTAATGAGTGCGAAGTACAGTCACTCTTTGTAAAGCTGAAGGGAAAAGCTCAAGTGTCATGGACTGAAAATCATGGGAAAACTATTGTGACTTACCAAAGCAAAGAGAAGTACTTCAGCATTAAGCAGTTTGTCATTCAGGAATCTATGGGTAAGCTAATGTCTTTCAATTTAGCACAATGCTGTAATCATTTTAAATCGTGGTATGTTTAATTACTGCTACTGTTTACAGAAAAGCTTTTCTTTGAATGATCATTTATACAAAAATTGCCTTTTAACTAGTAAGGTTAGTACAATCTTGACCAGTTCATGCTGATGGCAGCAATAATAGCAGGAATAACATTTTCCTGCTCTTCTCTTTCTGTGATTTCCTCTCTTCTTCAGAGCTATTTGCAAACCTGCTATTTCAGTGAGCAGCCCTTCTAAAAACAGTCACAGAGAGAAATTTACAAACCTTCCTTTAATCAGACATAAAGAAAAACATGCTCTCTGACTAATTCATTGTTCCTTAGGCAAAAATGTTCTTTCCCCTGGCTGCCATGTCTACCCATTCACCTTTCAGATTCCAGTGCAGTGAGTTTTCTTCTGAACAAAATTATTTCCATTGGTGTTCCATATAAACACATTCAAACACGTTTCTTTATTTTCTAAAACAATATCCTTTCATTTAAGTTTCATTGCACCTTTTGTTGCCACATCTTACAGAGACCTGCCGTCCTCCTTCAAGGGCTCATGTGGAAAGATTTTGTACACAGTCGAGGCAAATCTGAACCGGTCGATGAGAATGGACAGCAAAGCAAAGGCAGAGTTTACCCTCATCCAAAAGAGAAACACTGATCCAGTGTTGATGGTACCCTTATATTGTTGTTGAACAAATACACACATGCATACACAGATTTTCTAAATTTCATCCTTTTTTTTTATGTTAGACCCCACAGCAAAATATGATTGATAAGAAAATGAAGCTCTTCTCAAAGGGATCTGTGGCCATGGATGTAAGCATTGCAAAAACAGGCTTCTGCCAAGGTAATTCAAACCATTACTGAACCATACAGTCAATCTGCACGTTATTCTAATAGTGGATTACAATAGAAAATGGCAATAGAACACATTGAAATTCATCTCATAGTTGAAACATGTGCAGCTCAAGGTCAATTTGCTCATGGAACATATTTATGGTCTAAAGATAAGATGATATCTAATGTAGGTCACAGGCCATGGAAGTAAAGACCGGGATCTAAATACTTCACTCCTAAACGCATAGCAGCAAATGTCCAAATGTAATCTTGGTACATGACCTCAAACCGTCCTCTCCTTGTAGTACTGCTGTCAAACTTTACACTCATATAATTAAATGCATTTGTCTTCTGTGTGGAATTAATGCAAGTCATTGATTTTGTAATAGTGACACCCGCAACTTAAAAGTTTCATATTTCTGTAACCAGTTTTTGGATTATTTGTAAATTCATGGCAAACAGAGCGTAACGCTCATGTATAACCTGTTCTTGTTGTTTTTCCAGGAGAAGGCATAAGGGTCGTGGCTTCAATTCAGAACAAGTCCTCTCGTGACATTAAGCCCAAGTACTGTCTGTACAGGAAATACAGCTACTTTGCAAATAAGAAAAGGAAAGTTGAAACAAAAGTCATCCTGAAGGAGGAGGGTGAAGCCATCCCACACTCTGCAGGTCAGACTGTCACCAGGATCGTCACTGTACCTTCCACCGTGACCACATCAGTCCTAAACTGCAACATCGTCAAAGTAGAGTATAGACTCCGGGTGGGTAAGCCTATCTATCTTCACTTTTATGTTGTTCTGCATCAACGGGGTTGCATGGTAATGTTGACTCTTTTTCCACCACAGGTCTATCTGGATGTGAAGTATGCTTCAGACCCAGAAGTCAAGTTCCACATAGTCATCCTGCCTGCTTTAGAGGGGTCTGATAATCAGCAGTCATCTGACTTTTTGACGAGTGAATTTGACCAATTTCCAAATCCTTACATGTCAGGAGGGATGAGCTTTCTACAAAATCCAGCTGCCCCTGAACCTTCTGCTCCACCACCTTCCTATGAGACATATGGGATGTACCCCTCTTTCACAGGTTTAGATAGAAAGCCCTAGAATCTGTAGTGCAGATCTAGTTTTTATTGCTATTTTTTTTATAATAGCGATTAATTAAGAGTAAGAATAAGAGAATAAGAGTAAGAATAATTGGTAATAGATTGATTTACAGCTTGATATTCTGGTTTAATTTCAGTCGTTGACCATATTTGTTCCCTTTAAATGTGTAATAGCAGGAATAAAAAATATTTAATAAATAATTTATTTATTTCAGAGATTATATATTGTCCACATTTATTATTTTTAATCCATCTGACAACAGAAGACTCACATTTGTGATCTCTGAACTATGACCAGCAGCAAGATGCTGTTGACCAATCATGTCTCTGAACACTAAATATTTGCATTATTTTCCCACTGAGGAAATGCAAGTCACATTACAGGTGTGCTGGAAATAGAACAGTGGACAGTCCTGCACTGTGCTTTTCTGTATAGCCTACTACTATGAAGCATCTAGGAAAATCTTAAGACCTTGATTAAATGTTTTTGTAGTAACGGGTGGTGTTATTATATTTTTCAACAAATAATTGAGCAGACAGTTGAACACAACATTCTGCAGTGGCTAGTTCCTATACTGCAATTAACAAAAATCATACGCACAGTTTGACATTTTCTCATGCTTCATGCCTTTTTTCTCAACATACTGTAGTCAGTAGTGTCTTTATGGTTAAATGAGTTTTACTTGTGGTATTTTAGCATTATAGAATTTCATCAGCCTGAAACAGTCTGGCTTCCTTAAAAAGCTGTGCTTGCCTCAGAGCAGTTAAAGAAACACCAA